GAGACTACTTTGAGGGTGATTAGGTTTCCAACGCTCCAGGTATGCCAGTTTTTATTCCCCGGCTAAAGGTCGGATACTTTTCTCACAGGCTTCGTATATATATATAAAAAGTGCATTTAACATTTATAGGAATTTCTGAAGTGGAACACCAGTATACATAAAACACTTACACATTGATTTGGATATATTATAAACTTTAAACAATTGATGGATTACTTTTTAAGAATAATTATGGGTTTAATTCATTCCATACGATTTTCTTTTTACGTTAGTAATGAAAATAAATAAGATGGGGAGCCGAGGGAATACACTCTTGCCAGAGAATTGTCCAACTTTTTAGGTTTCTCTCTTTATTAATTATTTACAATAAAATATTGTAAACAGCAAAGACATGAAATGAATTTTCTGTAACTATCTAGCAACAGTTACACTGCCTGCTTTCTCACTTTGTGTATATGGTCAAGAAGAAAATATCAGAAACCACCATTAAAATGACTTGCAAAGTTTTACACATGTCGACATTAAAATACATAATATTTTCAACATCAAATTCTCGTTCTTACTAGTGCACCTCTCCAGTAGTTCTACCACGTATCTATACACTGGCAAAGTATGAAAATAGAAAGAAATGCTTAAAAACTGTTGTAAGGGAGTGAGATATGGAGTCAAGACTTTAGCCAAATGACCTTCCCTATGGATGCTGTTTTTCTAAAAGGAGACCATGTTTTATCAAATTCGAGATGCAAGCGTTTGTTTTTCCTATAACATTAAGTATGCTGTGTATGTTTTTTTTTCTCTCGAAAGCAAGGATAGGCAGACACAATGACTTGTGTTTGTCACGATTAATAATAGTTGAAGTAGTTTCTACTGACTCTCTCAACGGAGGCAGTTTATTGTTAAACGTACTCTGGCCAACAAACAAATGGTAATGGGACGAGAACCACAAATCCTTGGATTCATAGTATGGCACACTAATCACTAGATTCTACTAGGCCTATTTATTTATACTGAAACTGTTTCGTTACTTTGAAATAAAAATAATTAAACAATTTAATAATATTACCTTTCACTTGCAATAAAAAAAAATCATTGCTGATAAAATTTAAGAAACAATAAATAAATATTCTTACTTCACTTTTGAATATTTTTATATGACTATCTGCACCTCCACTGATCATGAGACTAGGAACTGACCAATCAACACACATGATTTTGTCTTCGTGTCCCGTCATGTCATATAGAGGAGCTTTTGGACTGAAAATCAGATGATATAAGACATTAAGTTAGTTATGAGACATACATAATTATATAGAAACTAATTAGCCACTTTATACCAAATATTATAAAATATATCTTTTCATATGAGCTTTATTGATAATAATAAAGGTTAGACAATTAGTTCTCAAGCTATTAATTGTTCAATCTATTTAAACTTATTTCTAGTGGAATTTGTAATTCTCTGATTTTAACATAAGATACTTACGTCCTGCACATTATACAAACCCCCAAGGTTAACATAAGATACTTATGTCCTGCACATTATACAAACCCCCAAGGTTAACATAAGATACTTACGTCCTGCGCCTTATTCAAACCCCCCAAGGTTAACATAAGATACTTACGTCCTG